GAGGGAGGGAAGAAGGGAGAGAGGGAAGAAGGGAGGGAGGGAAGAAGGGAGGGAGGGAAGAAGGGAGAGAGGAAAAAGGGGAAAGAGGGAAGAAGGGAGGGAGGGAGCAGATAAAGAAAAGAGGGAGTCAGTAAAGAAAGGAAGGAGAGAAAAGGGTAAAAAGGGAAACAGCAATAAAGGAAGAAGGGAAGGCTGGTGATTAGGAGAGGTAAAACAACAAGAGAGTAAGTTGGGAGTAAGGTAGGAGAGAGAGGAAGAAGGGGAGAAAGAGGGGAAGAGAGGAAGTGAAAGAAGCGACTGTCTGTCTGTCTGTCTGTCTGTCTGTCTGTCTGTCTGTCTGTCTGTCTGTCTGTCTGTCTGTTTGTCTGTCTGTCTCTTTTTCTCTCTCTCTCTCTCTCTCTCTCTCTCTCATCTTTTACAAAAAGTTATCTAATTTTAATCTTCTTCCTAGTCAGTAAACCACAACAACGGTAATCTTGGAATGTGTGTGTGTGTGTGTGTGTGTGTGTGTGTGTGTGTGTGTGTGTGTGTGTGTGTGTGTGTGTGTTGTGTTTGTAATTGCACACATGCGTGCAAAAATGAATAACTGGAAAGACGGGCAGATGGATAATTAACTTCCTAACATAACCCAAAGACCAATAATAAACAGAGTAAGATCAGAGGTTGCTACAGAGATGAACCGCGGTCCTCGAGGCACTACACAACACTTTACTTTTTTTCCGATTTTTATATCTGACACAGAAAGACATAAACCATAGTACTGTATTATACTTATGTTCTTATATCTGGGTCTGATAAAGACGTGCCTAGTATGGGCCAGTAGGCTTGCTGCAGTGTTCCTCCTTTCTTTTGCAGACGATACTAGAATCCATAGAAGACACACAGGTTGATATAAACCAAGTCTTCCAGTGGGCCACTGACAACAATATTATTCTCATTGTGAACAAATGCCAGTTATTACGCCACTGAATAAAGTGTAAGTTTAATGTGAGAGACCTGGAAGCGATAATGTCAGATCTCACGTTCATGGAGCAAACCAATGTTATTGTCGCAACTGCCGAACCACTGATGACAAAATTCCCTTCTCAGCTTGTATAACCACAGCTAAGCACCTAAATTACTGGGAGTGCCTGAAATCCCTCGAACTGTACTCCCTGCAACGGACGCGAGAAAGGTACATCATTCTGTACATTTGGGAGAGTCTGGAAGAATTGATCCCAAATCTGCACACCGAAATCACTACATACGAACACACGAGACGTGGCAGACGGTGCAGGATACTTCCAATGAAGAGCAGGGAAGCGATGAATACACTGAGAGAGAACTCAGTAAGAGCTAAGGGACCACGACTCTTCAACACCTTCCTGTCATGCATACGGGGGATTACCAACAAACAACTAGTTGTCTGCAACGTGGAACTCGACAAATACCTCAAATCAGTTTCTGATTAGCCGGGTTGTGGTGCTTACTTTGGACTGCAAGCACCCGGCACTAATGGTTTGATCGATCAGGCAGGCAACGAAGAGGCTTAGTTTGGAACCGTGTCGTGGGAACAGTGACCACCGGTAGAGAACACAGGTAACCTAATCTAACCTTACCTAACCTAACCTAACCTAACCTAACCTAACCTAACCTTACCTAACCTAACCTAACCTAACCTAACCTTACCTAACCAACTTTATGTACAAAATAGAAATTAGTATTTGTATATTTACAAGAAACGTTGAAAAATTGACGCTGGGAAATTCTTATTGAAATTAACGAATTCAATATGGGATGGCTTGCCCCCAAATACCCGTTTTCTACATTAATATCTTTCACAAAGGGGGTTAATTGTGGCGTTGCCAGGGCTGGGACGCTGGTTCATCATCTCTCACCCCTTGGAAATTGAAGGGGCGTCAACTGCCCTTTATAACTCACAAATTTGTAACCCTATCTCATTAAAGAAGGCTCGCTTCCAGCCGTTTACAGCTCTATTGTTCGTCAGAGTATTGCTGGGCGGAGTCGACATCAGGATCCCTTAACACAGGCATCGAAGCCTTTTGTGAATCCCGGAGGAGAGTCTGATCTCCCTTTGTTGGAGTGATGTGATGCTCGTTGTGTGTTCTGTGGTGGTGGTGGCCGAGGGTTTGGTACTTACACAACACACACACACACACACACACACACACACACACACACACACACACACACACACATGATAACCACGGCAGGTTTGCAGGTAATTAAGCATTATTCACTAACCACACCTGCCAACAGCAAATGACTTAATGGGTTCAGTACATTAGACGTCCAAGTAATTTCTCGAGTCGTCACAATAACCGATGCGGACGTCTGTCTGGGCTATCATCCTACAACTAAGAATACTAAGAATATTAATAATATTTAAAGTAAATGGTCAATTATTGAAACATAACTGATAAGTCATTATCGTCCACAACATGAATACAGTAATACACGGGAAGTATAATCAGCAAGATTGTTTATAATAATCACAGAAGGCTGGTAGCCCAATCTAGTGGCTAACGCGACCGGCTGGAGTTTTGAGACTCTATGACCGCGGGTTCAATCCCGGCCGGGGGTATGGTTTCTTGTGTCACGTGGTATGGTGGACAATGCTCTCGCCTCACACACTGAGTGTCCGTGGTTCAGTTCCCCGAAGGATGGAAACTTTGGGCTTGTTTTCTTACGTCTGCTGTCTCTGTTTCCTTAGCAAATAGGTACCTGGGTGCTAGTTGACTGGTGTGGGTGGCATCCTGGGGGACAAGACTGAAGGACCATAATCGAATGTCAGTGCGTCCTCGATGACGCACTGACTTTCTTGGGTTATCCTGGTTGGCTAACCCTCTGGGTTTAAAAAACCGAACAAGATCTTATCTTAACCAGTTGGAAAGCCAGCAAAAGTATATAGGATAATTAAAATATAATGTAAACACTGTGTGTATAAGAGTCAAAGTCACACCCTCAACATTCCTAGTTACTGGTGACACTCCTCGTAAGACAGCCATGAGTTTCTCCTACCTAACATTTAACTAGAGTGGGAAATAAGGTAGAGACTATCATCTATTGAGGATGTTGTTAACCTTTAAGAAGTTATATATAAACCAGTTTTTTAATGGACAACGAAAAACAATATAATGTTCAATGAAGACAAATTCAACTACTCTGTTATAAAAACTGGAGGAGATAATAACTAGAACTGAGTATATTATAAACTCTGATCATACAATAGAGCGGAAAAATAATGTGAGAGATCTGGGAGTGGTAATGTCTGAGGATCTCACTTTCAAGAATCACAACAGTGCCACGATCATAACTGCAAAGAAAATGATAAAATGGATAATGAGAACGTTCAAGACAAGAGATGCTAAGCCAATGATTGTTCCTTTTTAAATCACTTGTTCTCTCTGTGCTGGAATACTGCTGTACATTAACATCCCCAGCCAAGGCAGGTGAAATTGCAGATCTAGAGAGCGTATAAGTTCCATCAAACACCTTAACTACTGGGAGCGCCTGGAAGCACTTGACTTTACTCACTGGAGCGCAGGCGAGAGAGATATAGTATAATCTACACCTGGAAGATTCTGGAGGGACTGGTCCCTAATGTGCACACAGAAATCACTTGATACGAAAGCAAAAGATTTGGCAGGCGATGCAACATACCCCAGTGAAGAGTAGGGGCGTCACTGGTACACTAAGAGAAAACACAAAAAGTGTCCGGGGCCCAAGACTGTTCAACAGCCTCCCACCAGCAATAAGGGACATTACCAGTAGACCCCTGGTTGTCTTCAAGAGGGAGCTGGACAGATACCTAAAGTCGGTGCTGGATCAGCCGGACTGTGGCTCGTACGTTGGACTACGTGCGGTCAGCAGCAACAGCCTGGTTGATCAGGCCGTGATGCACCGGGAGGCCTGGTCATGGACCGGACCGCGGTGGCGTTAATCCTCGGAATACCCTCCAGGTAGAAGTCCCTAGGACTTCTACAAATACTTACAGAGTTACAGCAGACGTGAAATTGATGCTAGGAACATCGTAGGAAAGTGAACGTATTAAAGTGGAGTTAGGTTTGCTATTCTGATAATGCACTTTTATATGTGTTTCCCGTGAATTCCCATTGTGTTTTTCCTCGTTTTCTCTCCTTTCATCTCTTTCTACCTGTCTTCCAGCATTCTTCTCTTCCCTCTTTCCTCCCTCCTTCCCTTCCAGCGTTCTTCTCTCCCTTTCTACCTCAGTCCTCATCCTTCTCTTTGTCCCTCCCTTCCCACCGATCTATCTTTCTCCTCTTCTCTCCTCCCGTCCTCTCCTCCCCTCCCTCATCCTCCTCCCTCCTCCCAGTAAAGAAGCACTCACTCCAGGTTGCCAATAGAGAGCTGACAATAAGCAAACCACAGGAGAACAATACGGTGCCGAGCAGCCATGTTGATGCTATCATGAGGGGAGGAGTGAGGGGAGGGGTGAGGGGAGGAGTGAGGGGAGGAGCGAGGGGAGGGGTGAAGGGAGGAGTGAGGGGAGGGGTGAGGGGAGGGGTGAGGGGGCAGGAAGGCTTTTGGGGAGTGGCTTGAGAGGAGATGATAGTTGGGATCACGAAGACAAGTAGGAGGCGTGGCTGGTGTCTCAGATGGTAGGAGGAGGAAGAGGAGGAGGAAGAGGAGGAGGAGGAGGAGGAAGAGGAGGAGGAAGAAGAGGAGGAGGAGGAGGAGGAGGAAGAGGATAAAAGAGGAAAAAAATATAAAACAAGAAAAGGCACAGACAGAGGGGAAAGAAAGGAGAGAAAGGATTGAGTACAATAGAAATATAATAATAATAATAATGATAATAATAATAATAATAATATTATAATAATAATATATAATTATTATTATTATTATAGTAGTAAGTTAACATGTAGTATATTATAAATTATTATTATTATTTTAATAATACTACTAAAGCACTAAAAGCATTATTAACACCTGCTACACAGTATAAACATTATTAACACCTGCTACACAGTATAAACATTATTAACACCTGCTACACAGTATAAACATTATTAACACCTGCTACACAGTATAAACATTATTAACACCTGCTACACAGTATAAACATTATTAACACCTGCTACACAGTATAAACATTATTAACACCTGCTACACAGTATAAACATTAATATCATTACAATTATTGACACACGTGAATAATAATACTTTATTACAGAGTCACATGTACACACACGTAGGATAATAATTACAAAGGAGCAGTAATTACAAAGGTACATTTACAAAACAAAGGTCAGCTTAAAAATAATGATACAGGTGCTAAATAAAAACAAAAGTGTTTTTATGGAAAATGTTTTCCGAAGTGTTTTAAATTATAATGTTTATTGTTATACAACATATATTGAGGTAATAATAGTGTTTATGTTGCAGGTTGTTGGTATTGTGAGTGATGATTGTTGAAAATTGAACAATGTAGTTGAGAATGATTTGGTGATCGCGCGGGATTGAAACCCATACCAGGCGTCTGGCTGCCTTCAAGAGGGAGTTGGACACATACCTAAAGTCAGTACCCGATCAGCCAGGCTCTGGTTTGTACGTTGGACTACGTGCGGCCAGCAGTAACAGTCTTGTTGAGCAGGCCCTGATCTACCGGGAGGCCTTGTCGAGGACTGGGCTACGGGGGCGTAGACTCCCCCCGGAACACGCTCCAGGTAGACTCCAGATAGGTTTCTGGGAGCAAGATTCATAGAGCATAAGCCGTCGTAACCCTTACAATGCAATAACAACACGAAACCTATAGGACCGGTCTTAAAACTAGCAGGCCTTTGCTCTATTCACTGGATCACGCCGGCTTGATAAAACCTACCCTACTATGTATCTTTCTGTATGTTAGAGAGGTTAGCATGGAGTCCACTGTGTCCACAAATGAAGGGTTTTATGGTCCAATCTCACGGTAAAACGTCAACGAGTTGGTCTAGCTCAAGTCTCCTCAATGTCATTATCAATGCTAGTCTCAGGATTGACTTGCTATGGGGTGAGTCCTGTCCGTTCCATGCCTTGCAAGGACCCTGGATGATTTTAAGTTGTAGTCGGGGTGTCAGCCGATAACTAGGCAATACTGGCTTGATCACTGACATCATCGGAGGGAGACATATTCTTTACCAGTGATGTCTTTGGTGCTAAGGCCCTGATCAATGACACATCGAAGAGTGAAAATCGAGTGGGGGGCTTTTCGTTGTACTGTCCATCGAGCTGAAAACTGACTCGCTTGCTGAAGACTCCTCAAGAACCCCTGTTCGATCCTCAAAAGGTTCAGATGGATCAGTGGGCTCAAGCTGCTCACCTGATTCTGCTACTGGAACACCCTCGACGGTGTCTAAAGCAGAGGCTGCCTCTTCCCCTCCGACGTCGTCTTCAGGAACAGACACGGTTTCAGACTCCAGAAGGAAAGTTGTCGCGACCTCAGCCTCAGCTGAAACAGGGTAGACACACCCTCTGATCTTGCGACAGCGGTCGTGCCAGTCCCTGTAATGACAAGGAAGGCATGGCGATACCTCGGCAGGGACCGCTGCGCGAGCATCCTCGAATTTCCTTCCCGAGTCTTCGCTGCCAACTAGGGAAGATAAAGAGAAGAAGATGGAGGAGATAGAATTGTCGCTGTTGACTATGCAGCCGAAGACTCTCCTGCAGCCGACGTTTTGCTCCCTGAAGCAAGGAAGACACGGCGAGTTGACGATGAGTTGACGGGTGTGACCGTCGGCGGCGTCCTGCTCGGCGGTGAGCGGCTCCTTCGTCTGGAGGAGAGGAAACAAAATCACAAGAATGTAGATGCTACAAAAGTAAGATCACAGAGGAGTGAAGTGAACATTGCGCAGTTGAAAGAAGGTGACATATAAGGGAAATAAACACTATGCATCAGAAGTTTTATTCTAGGTGAGAAATATAAACATTGCGCAGCATTATGTGCAGATGAATAGTAATAGATTCGTGTGTTCGTTGCAAGTGAAGATACGTCATGCGTGTGCGTGTGCCTGTGAGTCACCCTGAAGCAACTGTTCCAACAGACCCTGAGCAGACACTTCCATGACACACGAACGAAGGTGCCGGAAGCAGGTGTCACGTTACAATACTGCTGAATAACGCAAACTCACATAATCACGACAAACGAGCAGGAAAATACTAGGGAAAAGGCAATTATTATTATTATTAATATGAATCATAAGGGAGCGCTAAACCCATAGGGATTATATAGCGCCAGTGGGGGGGGGTGGAAGGTATTCAGACTCAATTCAAGGAACCGGAGAACAGATCCAATTCCCTAAATGAAGAGCCCCTCACCAGCGTCAAGGAACCTCCCATAAGAGGGAGAGAATAGGTCATCTTATTGTATATACAGAAGAGAACATCGCTAGCCATCTCTCGCTGGGACTCAAAGAAATTTAGCATAATTATAGACAATTTTCCTGCCAAGATGCATGTTACGGATCCAAATGTGTTAGAGGTACAGGAGATGATAAGAGGAGGTATAGATCATTCTGAAATTCCTGAACATAATGAAGACTGTGTGGATGGTATAGCGTGAGCCCAGGATTGCGACGTGAATGCATTTACCATATAACATCAGTAACATCAGTACTGGCCCGTATCTGCCACTTGTGACCAGGACACAGCAAGAGTCACTCTCTGTGGAAAGAGATAAATTTAGCCGCAAGTCAAGTAAGGCAGTAACCAAGTGTCCGTTACAGGTAAAACTAAGAAAATATTATATATTTGACAGCATCATTGCTTAGTGTCACTCGCTGCTGCTTGGTTTTCGAAAAGGTTTGGTTGTTGAGTTGGATTTCGTAAAGGTTCATCCTGTGACTGATTCCACCAAGCGGCATCAGTCACTGAATGAACCATTAACTGATCAAGTAACTAATGCCACTATGTGGCACCAGTTACTGGACGAACCTCTCCATTTGTTAATGGAAAATCAGTTGTCCAGTCTCACTTGTTATTTCTGGCTCCCGTGACCGAGAATGGTACTGGTGATTCTTGACAATGACTGGAGAGGCATGGAGATCAGAACAGTGTGTATGTTAAGACACACATACACCGTTCGAAACATCTACTGAGGAAACGTTCCGCCACAAGTGGCTTCTTCAGGAATGAAGCAGCCGCTCGTAGCGATACATTTCTTCAATAGTGTCTTGAACTGAGTATTTGTGTCTTGGCATTACACAAACATTAGTAATCTCTGGCAAGTTCCACTCAGCTACCGAATGATGACCTTTATGGAGAAGTGTTCGGAAGTGACTGAATCAGTGCCAGAGTACTGCAAGGTGTGATGTGTTTGGATTTTTATTTGGGCTCTTGCTAGGAAACTTCTGTTTCAACCACCTTTTTCACCTCAACCCAAAATCTCACATCTACGAACACGTCTTCACTCCAAAATTAATTTAAATGTATCACCAACAGCTAGATAGAGCCAGACACAGAGACTACACCAGAAATACTGAAGCAGAGAGAGAGAAAGACGCAATGATAGAGTGAGGTAGTAACAGAGAGAATGAAATCAACAGAAGCAATGAGAGAGAGAGAGAGAGGAGAGAGAGAGAGAGAGAGAGAGAATCGTAAAAAAAACTCTAAATTTTACATCACTCAGAACACCAGTTTCCAAAGTCACTCACAAAATATCCTCACGAAGTATATGTTTTAGTGGTGCCAACCCGCATGGGACTGGTCGCCCAATTAATCAACGAAGCACTGCAAGTTGCAACAATGGGGTACTAGGTCAACAGCAGCATTGCAGCTGTCAGCTTTGTGTGCCGGTGTGTTTCCTGGTGTCCTGGATACACGGTGTTGCTATTGTCTTAAAACACGACATAAACAAAAGCTTGGCTTCCTGTGTTTGTGATGTGTGATGTCAGGTGGATGCTGCTGCGCACCCCATACTATCAACGCCAACGCGCATCTTTGTGTGGGAAAATTAGTAACGTATAAGGTACTGGTGAGAGAGAGAGATAGGCCATCGGTGGAATTGAGAATTGTAAGATCAGTCGGGATCTTTGTCACCTGCCATATTAGTTCTCTGGTTTGGGTTCATCTTGCAGTTCTTTTTTTTTCAAAATCTTTGTGCTCCTAAATTTTGCATCTATGATTTTTTAATTTGCACTTTGAATTCTCCCAGCGCTTTTTTCTTATCCTCAGTGGGTTGAGCGCTCAGGATGGTGCTCCACTCTCTCGGAGCCTCAGTGGGTTGAGCGCTGAGGCTGGTGTTCCACTCTATCTCGGAGTCTCAGTGGGTTGAGCGCTCAGGATGGTGCTCCACTCTCTCTCGGAGTCTCAGTGGGTTGAGCGCTCAGGATGGTGTTCCACTCTCTCGGAGCCTCAGTGGGTTGAGCGCTCAGGATGGTGTTCCACTCTCTCTCGGAGCCTCAGTGGGTTGAGCGCTCAGGATGGTGCTCCTCTCTCTCTCGGAGCCTCAGTGGGTTGAGCGCTCAGGCTGGTGTTCCACTCTCTCGGAGCCTCAGTGGGTTGAGCGCTCAGGATGGTGCTCCTCTCTCTCTCGGAGCCTCAGTGGGTTGAGCGCTCAGGATGGTGGTCCTCTCTCTCTCGGAGCCTCAGTGGGTTGAGCGCTCAGGATGGTGCTTCCTCTCTCTCTCGGAGCCTCAGTGGGTTGAGCGCTCAGGATGGTGGCTCCTCTCTCTCTCGGAGCCTCAGTGGGTTGAGCGCTCAGGTGGTGCTCCACTCTCTCTCGGAGCCTCAGTGGGTTGAGCGCTCAGGATGGTGCTCCACTCTCTCTCGGAGCCTCAGTGGGTTGAGCGCTCAGGATGGTGCTCCACTCTCTCTCGGAGCCTCAGTGGGTTGAGCGCTCAGGATGGTGCTCCACTCTCTCTCGGAGCCTCAGTGGGTTGAGCGCTCAGGATGGTGTTCCACTCTCTCTCGGAGCCTCAGTGAGTTGAGCGCTCAGGATGGTGTTCCACTCTCTCTCGGAGCCTCAGTGGGTTGAGCGCTCAGGATGGTGCTCCACTCTCGGAGCCTCAGTGGGTTGGGCGCTCAGGCTGGTGTTCCACTCTCTCTCGGAGCCTCAGTGGGTTGAGCGCTCAGGATGGTGCTCCACTCTCTCTCGGAGCCTCAGGGGTTGAGCGCTCAGGATGGTGCTCCACTCTCGGAGCCTCAGTGGGTTGGGCGCTCAGGCTGGTGTTCCACTCTCTCTCGGAGCCTCAGTGGGTTGAGCGCTCAGGATGGTGCTCCACTCTCTCTCTCTCGGAGTCTTCGTCGTCTTCCTTATTTCACTGTTTATTTCCAATAAGTAGAAGATCAATAAAGAGTGAGCATTCTCTTCTAGGTGAGACTGGATAATTTACTTATTAGGTTTTACCCAGGGAATGGGATCTGTGCTCCAGTTCCCTGATTTGACCCTGTAAAGTAAAAGGACACAAGTGCAACTAATGTGGCATTTTATTGTGGCAACGTTTTGCTCTCCAGGAGCTTTGTCAAGCCGAAACGTTGGAGAGCGAAACGTTGCCACAATAAAATGCCACATTAGTTGCAATTGTGTCCTTTTACTTTACATATTGTCGGTAATTCTACCAACATTATTACAACTCAGCCTGAATGTCTTCCATCCTCCCGTCATAGACGCTGTATAATCGCTACGGGTTTATCTCTCCTTATTATAATAATAATACTAATATTAATAATTAGGTTTCGCGCTTATCAACTACACGATAATTAATGCTGCATGTTACTATAACACCATCAAACCATACCACGGGCGGGGCTTGAACCCGCGGTTAATTAAAGTCGTGAAACTCCAGACCGACTCGCTAGCCACTGGGCTAGCTGGAAACAGTAAGATTCACCCAACTAGGTATATTTATACACGATAGGAAGGTTTCAATAGGCACCACTGTGACCACAAATGCATGTTTTTACACACGAATCTCCCGCCAGAGTGGCCGTGACGAACTCTAGCTCAAGTCCCCTCAAAGCCGTCATCGTGTCACTACGATTTTGTGAGTCATTAGAACACCATCAGTCACGAGTACATAAGTCCCTATAAAAGTGCTTTACAGAAACTGTCAGCTTATACACACTAAGACACTCCACACTCCCTTCATCTCTGTCAGAGACTCTCAAGAGTACTCGACTCAGTAACGGTGGTTAATCACCTCCTGCCTCTGGTGAGTTTCTTGCCTTGTTGCTCAGGAAGATTTCCATCGCTGGAGTCTCAATTGCACCCCTGGGATAGACTGAATGATGGTGAATGTGTTTGCTTCTTTGGGTCATCCAGCCTTGGTGGGACACGACCATTCAGATAAAAGAGATGTAAACAAAAATATTGACATTATTAAAACTGAAGAGGGGGGGGGGGAAGAAGAGGCTTTCAAAATACTAAGATATGAAAGATATTTTTACCCAAGCAATACCAATGTTAAACTATAGTTACAGTAAACTAGGATGGGTCTGTAATGAACTGTTAATAATTTAAAACGCAAGTTACGATGATCTAATTAAACATGTTAAAAATAAAACATATACGGAAAAAACGTCAACTGCTGTATTTTTTTTGGGGGGGACGGGACTTAATTTTATAGCCAGTAAGAAGTTTATCATGTGGAAATTACGGAAGATCTTCTTTTGTTTTATTTGAAGAACATTTGAAATACACCAGTTTACTACAACAATACTACACACCTGTACCCCGCAACTCACCTCTTGCAAGGACGCTGCGTGAAGAGAGAAGGTCCACAGCAGGTGAAAAATCCACTTCGAGTTCCTCTTCGTCCTCATCTTCTGACGAAGAGTCTCTGGAAAAGACTTAGTCTTTAATAAATTAGAAGGTCCAAGAGACACTCTTGGAAGCTCATGAAGGTCTAAGAGACTCTCATGAAGGCCCAGTAGTAACTCTTGAAGGTCCAGGACAAACTCTTGAAGGTCTGTGAGAAATAAATGTGTATGTGTACTGAAGACCTGAGATCTACGGTGACCTGTGGTATAGCTTTGTTCTGGTCTCCTACCCGGGACCTGCTCTGCCCTCTATTGACCTGTCATCTTGATGCGTCGCTGACAACCTTCAAGAAGAACGACGGAGAGCTTATTGTAGGACAAAAAAAAAAATAGATAAGGCTTAATTGTTCACTACTCTGGGCTGGCACAGCAAAGCCAATTGTTCACCACTCTGGGATGGAAGATTGAAGCCAATTGTTCACCACTCTGGGATGGAAGACTGAAGCCAATTGTTCACCACTCTGGGATGGAAGACTGAAGCCAATTGTTCACCACTCTGGGATGGAAGACTGAAGCCAATTGTTCACCACTCTGGGATGGAAGACTGAAGCCAATTGTTCATCACTCTGGGATGGAAGACTGAAGCCAATTGTTCACCAATCTGGGACGGCACAGCAAAGTCAATTGTTCACCACTTGTAGCTGGAATACTGAAGCCAGTTCTATGGTCTCCTGTTTATTTGACACCAAGTCATAATACACTCAGTCAGAATTTCCTCAGCTAAGGTAATATTGCACCAGCACCCAGGGTAACAACCAAATAAGAGGCAGGACCAGAAGCTGAGAGTTAATCTCCGCTGGAGGGTGTTGCGACTGGTGCGAGAGACGGTAGTGCACTGCGGCGGAGGGAGTTACCTGTCTGCCTCTTACCTGTGCTCTTCCTTCCGGTGTGATGAGGCGGACCTTGTGCAGTGTGTGTGTGTGTATGTGTGTGTGTGTGTGTGTGTGTGTGTGTGTGTGTGTGTGTGTGTGTATACTTCCTGGTTCACGGAGAACCAGGAGAGAGCTGAGGGGAGGGGAGGGGCCAAGTGCAGAGTAATAGGAGGGAGTGTAGGGAAAGTGTGGGGATGAATATGTGATGAGGTGATGTGGAGAGAGAGAGAGAGAAAGGCTTTCAAATGAGCTGATGTAGGTAACAGCTCTTAGTTTGTAAATAAAGTTAGGAACCTTAACCTAACCTTGTAAAACCCTGTGTAAGAGAGAGAGGAAGAGGGAGAGAGAGAGAGAGAGAGAGAGAGAGAGAGAGAGAGAGAGAGAGAGAGAGAGAGAGAGAGAGAGAGAGAGAGATGCACCAGGAAGACCAGTATAGAGAAGAACAGAGATAAAGGAACATCTATTATCATACATCACTGTATGTATTATGTTTCCCGCTAACTTCCGCACTAACTTCCGGGTCCTCGCCATTTCCCTGTTATGGCGAACCTGGGAGGCGAACCTGGGAGGCGAACCTGGGAGGCAAACCTGGGAGGCAAACCTGGGAGGCAAACCTGGGAGGCAAACCTGGGAGGCAAACCTGGGAGGCAAACCTGGGAGGCAAACCTGGGAGGCAAACCTGGGAGGCAAACCTGGGAGGCAAACCTGAGAGGCAAACCTGGGAGGCAAACCTGGGAGGCAAACCTGGGAGGCAAACCTGGGAGGAGAACCTGGGGGGCAAACCTGGGAGGAGAACCTGGGAGGAAAAACTAGGAAGGAAAACCTGGGAGGGGGAACCTGGGAGGAAACACCTCGGAGGGAAAACCTGGGAGGGGAAGCCTGGGAGGAAAAGCCTAGGAGGGAAAACCTGGGAGGGGAAACCTGGGAGGGGAAACCTGGGAGGGCAAACCTGGAAGGAGAAACCTGAGAGGGGAAACCTGAGAGGGGAAACCTGGGAGGGGAAACCTGGGAGGGGAAACCTGAGAGGGGAAACCATTGTCTGTCAGGAATATAAGTGACAGTCTCCTTATGGTTGACAGTCAGTAATACAGTTGAGAACTGAGAGAGAGAGAGAGAGAGAGAGAGAGAGAGAGAGAGAGAGAGAGAGAGAGAGAGAGAGAGAGAGAGAGAGAGAGAGAGAGAGGACAATCTGTAAATCTAGAAATAAATATGCAAGAATAAGAAGGGGAGTTGGAAGATAGACTAGAAAAAGATACGGAATGATAAGTTAAAGCAGAACCAAGTTACTTAACACAGCCACACTAAGAAAAGAAATGACCGTGAAGGAGCAAGTGATAAAGCCGAGGAAAGAGGAAGAGACGATGATGGAGGGTGGCTGAGAAGTGTGCGATGTTCTTAGCCGAAGACTCAGCAAAATGGAGGACTGTCCTGGAAGGAACTGCAGACTAGCTGACCAACAGGTACTGGAGAGTAGACATAACGGACCAGCAGGTACTGGAAAGTAGACACAACGGACCAACAGGTACTGAAGAGTAGACACAACGGAACACCAGGTACTGGAGAGTAGACACAACGGACCAGCAGGTACTGGAGAGTAGACACAATGGACCAACAGGTACTGGAGAGTAGACACAACGGACCAACAGGTACTGAAGAGTAGACACAACGGAACACCAGGTACTGGAGAGTAGACACAACGGACCAGCAGGTACTGGAGAGTAGACACAACGGACCAACAGGTGCTGGAGAGTAGACACAACGGACCAACAGGTGCTGGAGAATAGACACAACGGACCAACAGGTACTGGAGAGTAGACACAACGGACCAACAGGTACTGAAGAGTAGACACAACGGAACACCAGGTACTGGAGAGTAGACACAACGGACCAGCAGGTACTGGAGAGTAGACACAACGGACCAACAGGTACTGGAAAGTAGACACAACGGACCAGCAGGTACTGGAGAGTAGACACAACGGACCAACAGGTACTGGAGAGTAGACACAACGGACCAACAGGTACTGGAGAGTAGACACAACGGACCAACAGGTACTGGAGAGTAGACACAACGGACCAGCAGGTACTGGAGAGCAGACACAACGGACCAACAGGTACTGGAGAGTAGACACAATGGACCAACAGGTACTGGAGAGTAGACACAACGGACCACCAGGTACTGGAGAGTAGACACAACGGACCAACAGGTACTGGAGAGTAGACACAACGGACCAACAGGTACTGGAGAGAAGACACAACGGACCACCAGGTACTGGAGAGTAGACACAACGGACCAACAGGTACTGGAGAGTAGACACAACGGACCAACAGGTACTGGAGAGTAGACACAACGGACCAGCAGGTACTGGAGAGTAGACACAACGGACCAACAGGTGCTGGAGAGTAGACACAACGGGCCAACAGGTACTGGACAGTAGACACAACGGACCAACAGGTGCTGGAGAGTAGACACAACGGACCAACAGGTACTGGAGAGTAGACACAACGGACCAACAGGTGCTGGAGAGTAGACACAACGGACCAACAGGTACTGGAGAGTAGACACAACGGACCAACAGGTACTGGAGAGTAGACACAAAGAACCAGCAGGTACTGGAGAGTAGACACAACGGACCAGCAGGTACTGGAGAGTAGACACAACGGACCACCAGGTACTGGAGAGTAGACACAACGGACCACCAGGTACTGGAGAGTAGACACAACGGACCACCAGGTACTGGAGAGTAGACACAACGGACCACCATGTACTGGAGAGTAGACACAACGGACCAACAGGTACTGGAGAGTAGACACAAAGAACCAGCAGGTACTGGAGAGTAGACACAACGGACCAACAGGTACTGGAGAGTAGACACAATAAAATCAGTACTGAGACTTCTACAAGAGCTTGAAGCAACAAAAGCATCGGGACCAGACAACATATCTCCTTGAGTACTGACAGGAGGAGAACATCTGTGTGACCCATTAAAAAAAATGGGTCACAGGCACCTATGTAATGTCAGTACACGACCAGCCGGGCTGTGGTTCGTACGTCGATTTACGTGCGACCAGCAGTAGCAACTTGGTTGATTAGGCCTTGATCCACCTCGAGACTTGGTCATGGACCGGGCCAGGGGGACGTCGACCCCCGGAACACCCTCCAGACATACTCTCCAGTCAGGACAACTAACCTATGACAAATGGGGTGTTCCAGTTTTTGACAAGGGGGAGAATACAAAGTGTCCTGGAATGCAAGTCAGTATCTCTAACGTTCTCCAGAAAACTTCAGAGAGAAGATTCTTTACGGACAACCAGCACGGATTTAGGGATGGAAAATCTGGTCTTGCATATTTGCTTTAATTTTACGACAGAGTCACAGTAATAAAACAAGAAAGACAGTTGAGTGGATTGCAATTTTTGGGAGTGCTGGAAAACATTTGATACAGTAACACACCAGAGATTGGTCCAGAAATTAGAAGAACAAGCAGGGTCAAGAACAAGCAGGGTCAAGAACAAGCAGGGTCAAGAACAAGTAAGGAGTATTTAAATAAGTCAAGAAGTATTTAAATGAGAAAGGGCAGAGAATAACAGTAAGGGATGAGACATCCGGATGAGAGAGAGTGACAATTGGGGTTCCGCAAGGATGAGTGTTAGGACAACTACTGTTCCACATATACGAGAATGAATTCCCGGAGTTGACTGTATCCTATGGTGTCACTGTTTGCTGAGGATGAAAAACCAATAAGAAAAATAAGAGCAGGAGAGGACGGTGATAAACTCCAGAGAAACATCAACAAAATAGAGATGTGGTCAAATAAGAAGCTTCTCGAAATCAATCCAAACAAATCCAGGTGAGGTGAGGACAGACCGGACACAGAGTACAGAATAGGCGGAGACAGCTGTAATTTCAGAGAGTGAAATTGATCTGGAGGTGAATATAACACCAAACCTATCGCTAAAAGTGCAAATAAACTGTGTATCAGCGGTGGTATATACAAGATCAGCAAATCTCAGAAGAGGATTCAGGAACTTAAATAAAGAATTCTTCACAACCTTCTACACGACATATGTTATTAGGCCAGTCAATGAGTTCGTGGCCCCAGCATGAAGCCCACAACTGGTCAAGCACGTGAAGAAACTAGAAAAGGCCCAAAGGTTTGCAACCAAGGTAGTACCAGAACTGAGAGGAATGCACTACTAAAAGAGGACGGAAGAACTGAACCTGACGACCATGACAGAGAGAGGGACAAGGGGGCATATGATTGCTACGTAAAAAAAAATCTTAAAATGAAGTGACAGGGCAGATAGGGACAGGCTATTTGAATTAAGAGAGACAGGCTCAAGGGGACACAGGTGACAGCTATAAAGACAGATGAGTCAAGGAATGTAAACATATTTCTGCAGTCTCAGGATGCTTGAAAACTGGAATGACTTGGAATACATAGTGGTGGAGAAGAACTCGACACACAGCTTCAAGATTAGTCATGATATGGCCCGAAAAGCCCAAAGTCGGTTACCAAGGTAGTGTAAGTGCTGTGACTAGGAGCAAACACAAATCGGTGAGGGTACACACACACACACACACACACACACTCACACACACACGCACACACACAACACACACACACACACACACACACACACACACCACACACACACACACACACACACACACACACACACACACACACACACACACACACATATTTAAGAAAAGAGACTAAAACGAGGCACGAAACTACAGACCAGTGTCTCTGACGTGTATTGTATGGAAAGTCATGCAGAAAATTATCAGGCGGAGAGTGGTGGAGCACCTGGAACGGAACAAGAGTATAAACGCCAACCAGCACGGATTCATGGAAGGCAAATCCTGTATCACAAACCTTCCAGAGTTTTATGATAAAGTAACAGAAGTAAGACACGAGAGAGAGGGGTGGGTTGATTGCATCTTCTTGGACTGCAAGAAGGCCTTTGACACAGTTCCTCTCGAGAGATTAGTGCAGAA